ATAGTTCACAGCTTGTAGTCAGACTGTTAACAGAGCAGTCCTTTGTTCACAGACTGAAGTAATGTTAACCCCTAGGTTACATTTCAGTCAGAGCGTTAATTCACGTTCATGTTAGCTAACTTGTAGCTAGTCCATTTTAACACCGGGGTTAGTGCAACTTGTTTGTCACATACGGTTTGGTTTTCAAATAATGTTGACACAAGCGATGGCTTTATATTGTTTATCACACGTACTTTTCTGGACAGTCTGGAAATAAATACATTTTCACAGATTCCTCTTTTCCTTTTGGCAGTGGCAAGTTTGAAGGTCCATCAGCTCTCCTAATGATACAGCAGCATTAAGGGTACTTCCAGTAAGTATCAAATAACATGTCTGTCAGCCTCCTTTTAAGGTTACAGGCGCATGTAGATTATAGTATCATTCTGTATTTATTTATTTATTTATAATTCTTAGTTTGCCTCCATCTTGGGACTATTTATTGACAGTGACTTGCAGTTGAGGGTTGTTATCATGACACCAGCACTAAAATAAAAATGTGCTCTCATTGCAGATTATATATCTCAATAGAATTTTGATATGTGTGGACCTAAAAACAACCATAATAGTCTTCTGATTTCTCTCTTCAAAATGAATAATACCGATTCAAAGAAAAGATAACAATCCTAACATGCTCACTATGACCTTTTATTTACAACTGTCCCCTTTCCTCAGTACTTCCTAAGGATGGCTAGTTGTGGGGAGGTAGACCACTCTGTTAGCTCTCTTCCCTCCAGTAAGAAAGGCAGCAACAGTGGTGGTGGAAGTGGGAACAGTGCAGAATCATCATGCTCTGGCTCCAGCAACTCATCCCCAGCCCTGTCTGTGCCGGAGTGTGCCATCTGTCTGCAGAGCTGCGTCCACCCAGTCCAACTGCCATGCCATCACGTCTTCTGTTTTCTGTGTGTGAAGGGAGCATCCTGGCAGAGCAAACGCTGCGCTCTCTGCAGACAGGAAGTACCAGATGACTTCCTGGAAAGGCCCACACTTCTCTCTCCAGAGGAGTTGAAAGCATCGGCAGGAGGTCGGGGTGGGGCATCAAGTGATCACGCCTGGTATTATGAGGGGCGTAATGGTTGGTGGCAGTATGATGAGCGAACCAGCCGCGAGCTGGAGGACGCTTTCTCCAAGGGCAAGAAAACAGCTGAAATGCTGATTGCTGGTTTTTTGTATGTAGCCGACTTGGAGAACATGGTGCAGTACAGGCGTAACGAGCACGGGCGTAGACGCAAGATGAAGAGGGACATTTTGGATATCCCCAAGAAGGGAGTGGCAGGACTGCGTTTGGACACTGAAGGTGTTACTGGGGCCATTGGGGCAGCAGGTCGAGAAAACTCTGCTGATGGGGCTGATACCACAGTAGCAGGTGTACAGCAGGTTACAGGAAACCCCTCATCTGTTATAGCCACTGCCAGACCTCCCACCTCCCTTGGTGGCCAGCCTGGCAGCAGCAACAGCAGCCCCACTCTGGAAGATGCTCTCTCCCAGCTGCAGATCAGCCCCAGGCCCACACCTCATGAGCGGTCTGAGGCTGGGGAAGGAGAGGAAGAGGATGAGGAAGAGGAGGCCTCACCCTCCAGGTCCTCTGACCCTCACACCTCTGTGGACGAGTCTGGCTCTGGAGACTGGAGTGATGACGAGGAAGAGGAGGATGAAGAGGAAGGGGGAGATGCGGAGCGTGCAGAGCCCTGGGAGGATAGGCCACGGAGGCAAAGACTGAATCCAGAGGACAGAGCCCCTCCTGGCGCAGAGTCCACCTCCCCCCCTTCCTCATCCAGTAGCAGTGGAAGGTCCAGAATGCCCGATGGCCAGTGTACAGTGACTGAAGTGTGAAGTCATCGTTGATACCATCATCACCAAATGGCTATGTTACATTTCATTAATTTATTCCTCACTGTATGCTATTGTTCACTCTGTCACGGATGGAATGTGGGTGGATTGCTTGGAACAAGAGAAATTAAGCATAACATACTAAACAACTAAATTTCTTTTTTTTTTTCTCTCTCTAATTTGAACTTTTCTGGCTCCCAATAACCTGGATGTATCTGTATGATTGGGTTTGTCATTGTCATCCTGTGTGTATATACCCAGCCAGTAAAAGTAATGTTTTCTGTTCTAGCACTGAGCGGTCAAGTACTGACAGGAGGTACAGCTTGGTAAACAGCCAGATGGATACAGCATGTTGTTGTGAGCCATGAAATCTCATAATTGTCTGTCCAGAACATCATGTGTAGTAGGTGTAGCAGACTTATTGTGGTGTTCAGCTGCCACCGATCTGCTTACTTTTTAGCCATTTGGTTGCCGATACATGGAGTCTCCTTTCTAAATTTTAGAACCGTGTAAGTTAAATGTGACTTGCCAACTAGCTTCTGCCAATCCTAGGTATCCTTGTGTTGAAAGAGGGTTTCTGGGAGTCTCAGCCAGCTCTGTGACTTTTGCGAGAGAAAGCATAACTGGGGATTTTACTCCGTGAAATGGAACTGTCTTTTAACATTATCATGAACGGCTGCATTTTAATCAAATCCGCTTTAACTCTCTCAGCTAACATAGCACACAGAAATGGGCTTCTTAGAGCTCAAGTCATCTGACTACTCTTGCAAAGAATTTATTCCTTGAACTGTTCCTAACCTCCACCCTACCTAGATGATTTCCTTACGACCGATTTAACTGATGTGAAGCCTTTCCTTCACATTTCTGAAATGCAACTGTAAACTTTTGTCATTTCAGAGCAGATTGTGGTTTTAAAGAAAATCTTCAGGTTGTTTATCCAGATAAAGAAAGGAAACCGAAGTACTAACTAACTGACTGTCTTAAGCTATGTGCGTAATTAAATTTCTCACTTAATGTGCTACAACATTACACAACAGTATTGTAACTCTAGAGCCTGCAGGATTATCTGACCTATCGTTTCTTAGATTTGATTTCAATTAACCTGCAGCTTTTTGAATGTCTAATGTCTGTAGAGTTTACAAATCCTGTTTTAAATGACTGTGCATTATAGAAGTACATATCAAATGTATTTTAACCTTTCCCAACTTTAAATAATTGGCATTTTAATGTGAAGTGTCAGTGTTTTCATTTTAAAGCTGTTGAGGCCTTGGTAGCCTTAATAGTATTCTTATTGTCCCTGGCTAAAGTATTCTCAATTGGTGTGTTTCTAAAGTTTTGTGATTTGTGCATGTTTGAAGAGAGAGTTATTTAAACACCACTGGTTGGCGGGATGTTGAGAATTCATGTTTTTGGGTTTGGTTTGAGTAAATGTCTTTTTAATTTGTTTTGTTTTTTGCATTTCTTACTGTTGTAAATCCTCTTGTGTGATGTCTGAGGCAGCAAGAGAACAAGAACATGCCATTGCAATTGTCCATTCTGCAGAGATTTCAAGTTATGTTATTTTTATATTTCTTACCTGCTTACATCATCTGCTCAGACTTAGACATTCTGAAAAATAAAGTTTGTGTAACAGTTTTTGCTTGGCAACTTTTTTTTCTTACACGGTTTGTAATTTAAAAATAAATTGTCATTTCATCGCTCTAAATTAATAATATTTTGGTGCTCGTCTCCGATTGTTGGTGTGTAGTTTATATTTTTTTGGCCTTCTCTTTTTACTGCGTGATGAGTTGCATGTGAGTTTGATTTTTATTTTTATTTTTTTCTCTTCTTTTAAATATATCAGTCTTCAGTGTTACATAAGTAGGACTATCAATGGGCCCATTGTAAGTAAGATTTCACCCTTTCTCCACATTACTAACTAGAGATTTTTCAAAGAGGGAGAAAATCACATTCTTCCCCTGAATATAGGGACTGAAATATTCAGTGCCTGTTACTCATATAACAAAGCATTCAAAATAAGACTTAATTACACATGTACAAGAAAACTAGGGAAAGTCATTATGGTAGCTATAAATACATGATCAAAAATACTTGATAGCCTAACTTTGCAACAAAAACTTGGGTGGTGACACTAGCTGATTTTATGTAATGAATATGAGCTTGAACATGTTTTGTCCAGGGTATAAAGTGAAAGTATGAAAATCAAGCTGTTTTTGTGTGCTGGATTCATAACTGAGTAACTGAAATAATAGTTTTTTAATGATCTGATTTTGGATTCCCTATTGAAAATGAAAAGTGACACACAGATTAAGATACAATTTATGAATCCATAATGTCCACAGTATGCCGTGTCTTCTCTTTCTGTCACTGGAGAGCATATAAACAAGTGTTTATGTACTGCGTATCATAATGAGGCCAACTCTTCCCTTCACTCACCTTGTAGATGTTTGGTATTCTGACCACATCAGCTATCAGCACTCCAGCTGGGTTATCTGGCCAGGAAACGCGACCTCTGGAAAGGGAAAAGGACATAAAGGCCTGGCATCCTCCAGGGACCTGTCCCGCTCAGGCCATTTCAGTCTGTGCACGTCTGTACTTTTGCAGTACCTAATTTGTGCAAATCAGAAAATGTGCATTGAAAAACAAGCTACAAATTGGTGCCAAAAAAAAACAAACCTGTATTTCAGCTGTTCAATTTGGCTTTGTGCTTCACCATCTATCAAGGTTCCACATGCATGATGAGAGCTGCTGCGTAATGCCCTGACCCACAGCTAAGAATCTCCCAATAGAATAGTAACAGAGAGAGTGGGGATGATCAAGGCCACAATGACACACTTTGAGCAGAGCAGAATCTGAACTAACCTACAAAACTGAGAAGTGAAGAGGAAAGACGTGCAGCAGCATTACTCTCAATCATGCAGACATGCTGATGCCTTGTGCTTGTTGTAGTGCTTGTTTTACCTCATCAGTATCTGTCTGCTTCAGTTAGGCTAGGCCTAGCATGATCTAATCATTACCATAATCACATTTTCAGGCGACCTAGAGGAATGACAGTGCTCATTTGTTTCACTTATGGGTACAGATGAGATTTATGAGTGTCGTCCTTTATACTGTAATACCCATTGAATCATACAGCATATTCACTGTTTTATTGCAGTAACAGATCTAAACAAAATAATAAACACAATCAGTCTACAGAGTATTAATGAGTAATTAATATAGTAGTAGAGTAATAATAATTTCTCAGGGCATGCAACACCAGTGACGCATATTTTTCTGTAAACAGGAGGCTGCAGAGTTCAGTTTGTAAAATATAACACCAAAGGGACAGAGGAGTTTATGCCATTAATTTAGAGTTATGTTTCCAATGTGTGGTCAAAAGCATATTATCAGTGTCACGGCTCCTACTCGTGTGATAAGTAGGCATAATGTCACAAAGAGAGATACCAACCAAAATAAATCACAACCATTGAAGTATATAACACTGAGTGATCTCTATCAGTGTATTAGATGCAATGAAGCAGGTGATTTATTGAAATGATACAGTTTGTAGTCCTAACTATCAAAGAATGCACCGTTTATGTCTCTACACTGCAAAAGACCATATTGTAGACACAGCATTCAGCTTATTACATTAAAATACATATGTCTTCAGCACACCAAAAAACTAAGTAAGTTTATTGATGTCAAACAAGAGGATGTCTGTGGCAGTTCTCCTCCAGACAGTTTTAACCTGGACAGGGTTTTCCAAAAATGTCTCGGTTGACCATCTTGGCTGATCGGAGAAGTTCTTAGGAAAGTGGACACAGACATTCATTTGTGTTTGGACTTGCTGGCCAAGGCCTGCAGGTTAGCCGGACCGCCCCACACCGTGCCAAAAACATCCTTCTCAGTCCTCAGAGCCTCTGACAGAGGGAGCTCTCTCCCTGACAACACTACCTTTTTCACAGCCTGGATCACCGGGGCAGGTCCTTTTGCATAGTGACTAAGCCAGTTTTCAGCCCTCTGTAGGAGAGTCCCTGCACCCTCCTCTTCCTGGGGGACCTCCAGGACTCCATCTGCCAGTCCAATCTGCAGGCCAAGTTCGGGGGCCACTTTAAGAGCACCACCAAGCAGCTTCAACGCATTCTGGCTTCCTACAATGCGGACAAGTCGCGCGGTGCCTCCCCAGCCCGGGACCAGGCCCATGTGTTTATGGACAAACTGGATCACACTGCCAGGTGCCATTAACCTGTGAGGGAGAGAGATGACGGACACAAGTTATATCATTGGCAAACTTTTAAATGGAAGGCAATGGTTTAAACAGATTCTAGGGTGTTTTTTTGTATTCGCTTTACCTGAAATCGCAGGCAGTGGTGAGCTCTGCACCTCCTCCCAGCGCTCTCCCCTCCACCAGAGCAACAGAGATCAGAGGCAGCCTGCACTGACAAAACCAGTCTGTCACCATACTGTGGTGCACCTAACATAATTGCTAAACTCCAACGTCATTAAGCTCAGACTGGTTTCTCCTGCTTTACTCTGCACTGATATTTACTAGAGGAGTAGAGGGGTAAATGCGAGCCCTTACCTGAGTAGTCTTGTAAGAGCATTCTGCATGAACATACACATCTTCATGCCATCCTACAAGGCAAAAGAAACCTCATTTAGAGATCGTCGGGCAAGAGATACTGTGACAAATTAAAGCCACAGCAAAGAAATACTCTAATGGATTTCTCTGCTTTTCTACCTGTGGGTTAGATATCGCCCTGACAGCGTTCAGGTCTGATCCAGAGCAGAAAGTTCCAGCAGCACCCTGAACAATGAGGCCTTTACCATCCGTCCAGCTCTCCAGCTGGCTCACCCTCTCCTCCAGGTCCACCATCATACTACCTGGGAGGAAGGAAAAACCCAAAACTACCAACTTGGCTAACTTGTTTATGTTTGCGTATACTGGTAAGTGATTATGTGCAAATGAGTTTTATCCAGAGGAATACCAAATCTGCACTAGTCAATCTGCAAATGTACAGTCACCATACCAGAGAAGGCATTCATGCGAGAGGAGTTGTTGATGGTCAGCACAGCGATGCCAGACTCTTGTTTGAGCAGGTCAATGGAGCCTCCAGGAAAGGCCCGCAGTTTCTCTCTGATCTCCTCCTGGTTGAAGCCATGGATGCTGGAATACACACAGCCACTGCTCTGTCTCTGCAGCAGCCTAGGAGGAACAACATTTATGTAGTTTATTAAAATCCAATCAATTGCATTCAATCAGGATACAGATCAAAAAGAGAGGAAATGTTGAACCCTTCATTTAACTGCTGCAACAATAAACAATCTGCCTTTTCACTCTGTTGTTCTGTACATGATCAGCTTGCTTTAATCTAAATGATAAGTTTATTCAAATCAAACTGAATATGTGAAATTGTAGTATAAAGAAATAAGTAATGCAAAACTGCCTCATGGAAATCAGACAGGTGCTGCTAAGGACTGAAAGTGAATGCTTGCACTGGCACACAGCAGGACAATAAATGCTTTTAATACACTCCCTTACCTCTCTGTAAATCAGCCTGAAGGAGGTATGGTATGATTTTGACTAAATAGTCCCAATCAGAGATGTTATTACTTTTGGAGATGAGCCTTTCACCAATCTCAGCACCTCAGAAATGCATTTTGATTGTTGGACTTTGTCTGTGATTTGTGAACAAATGTGGGTTCGATAGACTTGCTGTTCCTTTATTTATAAGTTTACTTACTGTCACCAGCATGGTGATAAACAAATGCCGGCTGGACTCCCTTACCTGGCCCAGGCTCCACAGCTGCCGCTGCTCCTCAGGAGTTGTTGCCTCACTGCACACAGCACCATCCTGCAGCAGTATGGAGATGGAGGAATGTGGTAATTATATCATTTCACATTTACCTTCATTGGGAGAAATTGCATCAGACATATTACTGTATTAAAGAAGGAGTTGGGCACATATAAAGGGGGTACAAATTAAGGAAGCATTAAGATACTCCGCTAGCTGAGTAAGAACAGCAGCAGCTGCTGTTTCGAGCATGTTGGCACAATGAAAATTATCAGAATCAAATCAATTACTATGACTTTTGAAAGAATTGGGACTACATTAACTATGGCTCTGTTCTGTGTGTCCCATGAGAGGGTGACATTGAGCCGGTATTCACAATACCAAGACTTTGAAATTGAAGCAGCTAAATGGAATTCCGCCATCAATGATTTTATTATTTACATTTTATTGTTTCCCCCACTGTGACATGTAAATATATGTCTGTGGAAAAGGTCTACTGAAATACATATTCCCACATATGTATACATTGTGACACGATCCCCATCTTATTCCTGCATGATTGGCTGAGCTTCAAATCCATAAATATATATTTCTTCTCTTTCAAATATCCAGTTAGGAGGAATCTTTAAGAATAAGGATATTACATTACTTTACTTAACAATATCATCATCATAACAAAACAATCCATTGGAATATAGATGGAAAAACATTCTTAGGAGGCCTAATTGAGAGAATTGCACAGATTAGTTTGTCACTGTAGTAATCTTGCATGTGTTATAAATGAAGTTGGTTTTAACAAAGCCTAGTGTAAGTGCAGGGATTCGCTGTCTTTTCCTAAGTCCTTATGAATTCTGCATCTGCATCTTTGTTTGACTTCATCACTTTTTACAACAAGGTCAAGGAAAAGTGTTAAGGAAAAGACATTTTTTGACTATTTGGCCACAGCCAGTTTACATAATCTCCCATCATAGCTCCACCTGACTTATTAGCCAGATAAACACATACACCTTTTGGGGCTTTTAATCAAACAGACGAGAGCTCTGTAACAGCACTTGATGAACCTACAAACTAGGGGAAGGCAGATATAAAAAGAGAGGAGCACTTGAAAATATTCCTAGATAAGTACCACAGGGACATTAACGTTATGCAGTGAGCATAGCCAGTAAACGGAAATTTAGACACTTACTTTCACATTTAAATACACCATTTTATTGACAAAAACAATAGCACTATAATATATATATATATATATATATATATAGGATTCGAGTCTTAATACTTTTTCGGTTTAAACTACTGGAAGCAAACTAGTTACACACGCCACTCATGAATAACCTTTCAAAGCTGCTAAATATTTTACTAGCGTGTTCTACGTGTTCACTACGTGTTCTGCAGTAAACCATTGAATCTTTATGTTTGGGAGCTAAATGTCTTTAGTACAAACGTGGTATACGTTTGTGCCCCAATCTAACTTTAAAACGTGCGCATACATCGAGCAGCATAGTTAATTAATATATTTCGTGAAACCTTTTTAACATGCCTGTACAATACTTACAAAACATTTAGCAACAAAACTGTAAGCACCGACCTTTCTTATTGATAGTCGTGTGGCGTTACACTGAAATCCCTCCCCCTAGAAACTACAGCTCATCGGAAGTAGTCTGGCCTTATCGTTAGAAATCATCATGGAAATCATTGCCATCATTTTTAGGGGTGCTCAAGCACACCTACACTTCACCTTAGCACCACTAAATAGTCTGACACGAGACATCCTGTTTTTTTGTTATTTAATTTCTTTGGGGACTTTCTAAGGACACCAGATGCCTATTTTCAATTGTCTTTTCAACACATGGTAATTTTTCCATTTAGGTATGTGGTTCTGAAATTAAATAAAAATACAAAGTTAATACTAGGTTGCAAACAATAAACATCAAATCAAATGAACAGCATTAAATACATCAATTAACTAAGACACAAACCAGGTATAGGCCTAACTTTACTGTAAATTCTTCGGGCAGCCGTCCTCGCCAGAAAAACAGCCGTTGATCAACTAAGCAAGTAGCTTTTTTAAGACCGACATATTTACGACGTCTATGAAGATTCTCAGTCATCCAGGTCATAGTTATCCAACGAAGGTTAAAATCAAGGGCAACAGGACTTGGTTGAAGATACTGGAAGACGTTTCGTCCCTCATCCAAAGGACTTCTTCAGTTCCAGAACTGAAGATACAGGAACGTCTTCCAGTATCTTCAACCAAGTCCAGTTGCCCTTGATTTTAACCTTCGTTGGATATATTTACGACCCATATTTACGTTGATAAATTTTTAGGCCATGAACTCTGGTGGCCATATGATGGGAGCACAGGAGGAAGTAAAAAAAAATGGTCAAACATTCACCCTAGAGAGCAGTTTTCAAGCCACCTGCAAAACCAAGTCAAGGTTGACTTTGATGTTTTAAGTTAAATTACTTTACATGTTACCTGTTACTTGTTACTTATTTAAAGTTTTAAGTTAAACCTACATAACATAGCCCGCTTATTTTAACCCAAACCACTTTTCTTAAACCTAACAAAGTAGCTTTGTTGCCAAAAAGCGTTTCACAATATTCACCACCTATTTAACTTCATGTGATTTATGTCATGTAATTTTACTTTGATTTTTTTTTTGTTTTTGTCATAAATAAAGACGGCTGTACATGTGCATTACATTACATTACAGTACATCAAGCAAGTGCAATAAAACAAGACATAGCAATATTACTTACTAGTTTAACAGAAAGAAGGCCAGCTCGGCGTCTGTCTTAAAGCCTTTTATTTCACGAAGCTCTCGCCAGCTTCTTATTCACTCTCTCTTTTTCTCTTCTTAGCTTCCTCTATGAATGTCTTCAGTCTCTTTGCCTCCGCCATTACCTAATGTTACGGCCATATATTTGTTCTGTTATGTTACCCTCTTGCCTGGATCCGGCACAACACCTGCACTGCTCTCCACAAGAAGCAGTACTGCTTGAAACTCTAGTGGAAATCTAGCCAACAAAGCTTCCACTTACAGTGATGTTACCCATGTCCAAGTGTGTTGTGCAAACATCAACTCGGGATTTATAGCTAGCAACTAAACCTCTGGCTGATTTTCCTTGAGTCAACAACTTTGCTAACACAGGCAAACAGCAAGCAAGCTCAACAACACAAGACACAGCAAACCAGCTAATAAGTTATTACGGACTAGTCCAACAGCAAGAAGGCCAGCTCAGCATCGGTCTTGCTTCCTCTCAGCTCTTTTAGTTTACACCAAAGGTTTAAAAGCCAGTCTGACATTCCCTTCACTTGTCCCAGTCTCTTGAGACAGATAAAAAGAAAGAGTGGCCAAGTCACTGCCTGAACTTACACAAACCGTTATGGCCCACAGAATTCTTATTCTCAGAGGTATCCTCTCCTAGGTGCAGCCATGATGTCACTAAGGCCATAAAAGGAGAAGGCATCAGTTGTTTGTTGCTGTTCCACTGATGCGCGAGCAGGTGTTTGCCCTTTTAGCACTGAACATTGTTTTCCCTAAGTGCAGGTCTAACTCGCCTGTGGAGCAGACTACTTTTCTTTGTTTTTCTTTTGTTATCTTTTGTTCACATTTTTGGATCCTGAAGGAGACCGTTATCCACAATACAACGCTTTACAGTAATACCTGCAGAAGAAGATACAGACTACACCTTCCTATCACGGGGATAACCACTAAAGCCCCAAACTCTTGATCTATTATCGCCGACCTGCCGATAAAGCCGCCAACTGTGTGGTAACCAAGAAAAACTCAGCTAGTTTACTGAAAATGGACTGCCGCATCATATCGCTATTAAGAAGCGATTCCAAGTATGAGGCTTTTGTGTCTGGGCAGAGATTAGGTTTATAACTGTTATTGTAACTTTGCAAACTTCAATGTGGTAAAAATGTTCTTTTTGTGGGATATACAGGATGTTGCGTCCTGTTTATTCCTGTGTGTTTTTGTGCCTTGCTTGTTTTAGTTTGTATCGGTTCTACCAATACTACAGTGCTGTAACTTTGTTTGTTACCGATACTGTGTGTGAAGCCAATAACGGTGCTTTATCAAGAGTGGAGTGCAGTAACATGACTGCCAAATGCAAGTTCACCACCGGTTCCTATGTGATAAAGTGACTTATTGAATTATTGTGTTTTACTACGGTAATTAGGATTTGTATATTTTTACCTGTGTTAGTTTCTGCCACTGCTTGCAGAGTAAACAACTATACTGTGACTAAAGTCCAGGACCATAGCCGTGAATGGAAGTTCACTGCTGGGTACTGTGACGTTAACCTAGGCTCGGCAAACATCTTATAGATCTTATCTCTTCCCCTATTCCAACCTCCACCCACACACTTAACACGCATCCACGCATACAGATCCGGCACAGCTGTAGCCTAAAGTCCAGTTGTGCTCCACGCTATTTTGATAAGGAAAGAGTGCATCTGCAATTCTGGGTCTAAAGCCTTTCTTAAGCTTTTCGGGCCTGCCCACTATTTGGATCATTGTGTGATGAGCCATCTTCCTTGCCCCCCCTATTGTCACGCACACACCTACAAATTCTTGTTCACCCTGTTAACATAAAAAAATAGTATTCAGATATTGGCATTTATAGGTGGGCAAACCCCTTTTTGAGATTGTTTTCACGTTTGGTTATTGGTCTCTGATTCCAAGGTGGTGCCACGTATTTATTCCTCTTATATTTCCTTGATATTTTGCTAATGACCAGACCTGCCTGCCTTTACTGAAACTTCAAATAGGCCCAGTTGAAACATTGCCACTTCTGGTTTAAATGGCCATTTTGAACTTTAAAAATCATCAGAAATGGATTCAGCATCCTCCCCCAAAACTACTCTACTATTGTCCAAATCAGCCAAGCAGTTGCTAAAATGTTGTCCATATAGGTGATTGTTCTATGCTAATTATGCTAATTACCTAATCAATATATGCAAGTTAGCATCCGTCAGTTTCTACTACTGAGGACCCATACTGTGCATTTCTAGCACAAAACTTTGGGAGTTGCTGGCAAGAAGGCTATAATGGCAAGATGTGGTTCCTCAACATCCCCACAGGGGGGCAGAACAAAATCGCCAAACAGCAAAATTGATTAGGGATTCATTGATTAGTATATCATTAGCTTTTTTCAATAAGCCAAATATATCTATCCACTGTAATACTAGTCCACATACATTTTATGCAACACTCTACAAGCTATAATTTATTTTTCAACATGAACAGAAATGTTCACCATTAGCCAATGCACTACACAGAGATATCTGCTCTTTGTCTGTCACAACTCTGTAAACACAGCATAGTGAGGAACTGGCTCTACAGACATGTCCTTATTCAGTAGTAATGACAGAGGGCTTTAAATAACACCTACAAGTTACAGTGCAGCATTTGCACAGGCAGCTGACGGTTTATTAACATGGGCTATTGTCAAGTTTTCATCATCATACTGTGTCTGTGTAAAGTAGCAAAATAGCAGGTTTTGTTTGATTCAAGACCTAAAACGCCAGTGAGCTGAGTCATATCACTGTGGACACTTCCAAGTCTAACACTGTCAACATATTGTCAAACAAAAGCCTGCTTTGAGATTTGGTTTAATGTGTGGCCAAGTGAAACAATCTTCAAATGTCAGTGATAAAAGGCATTTTCAAAGATATTAAATAAAGGGTTTGGAATAATATAAGAACTTGGGTTAGAACTGATGTTAAGACAAGACTGAGGCAAAATGCAGCCTAATTTTATAATTGATTTAAGGGCAGTAGTTGTATTCTGGCCTTGCACTTTTTCCATCAAAAGTACTACCTTAGAAGATGCAGCCTTTGTTTCAGGAATGGTCTTGTTGAAACTCCTCCTTGAAACATGTTATGTCATAACAAGAAGGACTACTGCCTTTCTGATGGGCAGTAAAAAGTGTGAATTGCTCTGAATCATAATACTGTGCAAACACAGTATAAATAATAATAATAATAATCTTTATTTGTAGAGCACTTTTCAAAAACAAGTTACAAAGTGCTTTAACAAGTGTAAAGACAATAATACCCAAAAGACAATAATACAAAAACAATACAAGATAAAAGCAAGAAAATTGAAAAGACTAAAATACACGTTTAAGATAAATATAAAATAAGTAAAATAGAATAGAATAAAAGGGATAAAATAAAGTCAAATAAGATCGGGAAAGGCTCTCCTATAAAAGTATGTTTTAAGAAGGGACTTAAAAGAGTTCACTGACTCAGCTGACCTGATTTCCTCGGGCAGGCTGTTCCAGAGCCTCGGGGCCCTGACAGCAAACGCTCTGTCCCCTTTAGTTTTCAGTCGAGACTCTGGAACAGACAACAGACCTCTGCCCGAGGATCTCAAGGTACGTGCTGGTGTGTATGGGACTAAAAGTTCAGAAATATAACAAGGCGACAGGCCATGAAGAGCTAAATACTGAGCATAATCAAAGCATATGTGTAAATACTGAGGTCTGTAAAGATTTCTACAATTTTATTTGTGTGTAAAGGAGACAGGTGGAAGGTTAGATTGACAAACCTATGAGACAAACGTAATGTTTGGGGAGTGAGAATTAGAAATGAAGGAGTTCAATCTGTGAGACAAACAGGCAAACAAACAACCACAAGAGGATGATATAAAGACCGATGTGCAGGAAAAGGAGGGGAAATGTGGCTAAACAGAGGGAGGTTGAGACACTTCCTGTCCTGTGGTCTGATCTATGGCTACTGGGACCATAAATCCTTCACTTCTATCTGCACATTCTCTACCGCTACCCTGAACGTATCTGTGAAAACAAATTAAGGAACCAAAAATATCTTTCTGTTTCAATTGGCTCACTGAGGATTCCAGAGACATGCGGAATCAAACGTCTTAAACAAATGAAGTGTCACAAAAGTGATTGTGTATTGTAACATATTCACATACCTGATCTTACATCTGTACGAAATCTACACTGAAAGCACATTACTTCAGTTACATTCACTCATGCTAAATACTATACCATTGAAAATTCCACATATTTCATGCAACTATTAAATCCCATTAAAACATTTAAAAATGTTTCATTGAACTCTTTGAAATATTCTCTTTAATATTCTCCACCTCTTTAGACTGTATTGTAACATTTTTATTTACTGGTACACGTAAAAATATACATTATCTGTACTGTATTCTCATTTCACCCGAGTACCCGCCTTTTTTCCTCTACTAGACAAAGAGAAGAAGATCCAGAAGCTGTGCTTGATTGAAGAGTACATCACTTGACTGGGGACAACTGTTAGGTCCCTTAGATATAAAAATCAAATAAATTTACCATGAGACAAACTTATCAAACTTATCTCTACAATTTTTGACGTGTAAAGCATATTTTTAGACAGGGAATTCTGCTTTTTCAAGAAAGTCTACAAGGGTGTTGTATATTTTATATCTTCTAATATATATCTTCTTTTCCTTCTAATTGAGGTCTTCCTCTACTTTTGTGGTTCCTAAACATTGATTTTGATGAGTGATGAGTTTGTTTGCTGATGACCTGATTCAGAATTGTATCTATAAGATGTAAAAAAAAATGTCTTCAGATTACTTCCTGAGGAGCAGCTAAAAATATATCAGTTTTCTAGCCATGTGAATCCAAGAAAAGCAAGTAATCCTTCATATTTGTGAATCTGTAACTATTAGATTTGTGTTCACTTGATAAAGAACTTAAATGAATACTCCTCTATCAAAATGACTCATCTGCTGTGTGCCAGTAAATGTCATCAAATGCTTTTGAAAATTTAATGTAATTTCGTCTTGTTTATTTGTTTATATGTTGCTTATTTATTGTGTGTAATTTGTTAATTCTTGATATTTTGGTTTAATAATAGTAGTGGCAGTAGCAATAATAGGCCTCCAACCCCAAAATAAGCTGAAGTTCCTAGAAGAAACTCCAACCAAAATGGTTCCAGAACATAGCTGAGGCCATGCTGGGGGGAAAAGGGTTCCTAAAGGAACCTGATAAACTACCCCAAGTTTCTCAGAGAATTGATTAAAAGGGTTCCGCCAGTGTGGCAAACTGAGGAACCCTTAAAGCAGCCTCCAGTCTATTTAAAATAGAGGAAGGAATTCAAAAAGGGACTCTTCCCAGGCAGACATTCCAGACACACTGACTCTCCTTCTTGCTCTGTACAGTACATTCAGCTGGTTCAGCCAGCCAGCAACCTGTCTCTAGATATCACTCTGTGAAGTGCGGCACCTGGAGGACATGGTGGTTTAGTGGATTTTGCATACATAGCAGTCTCTAAATCACCCACAAGTGCGCGTAAATGATTGTCTATCTGTGCCAGGTATACTCTTTTATAAACTTTCATTCCCAAACTGTTATCTTACTCCATTCATCCTCTGCTCAGCCCTTTCAGTCATTTTGATTTAAGTCGGCCCTGCTGTTTTACGAGCCGTCTGTCCAGATATCAGTGATGCCAGCTGATAATGGAAGCCTGTCTGAAATTACAACCTGGCTAACGGGAGAGAGAGAGAGAGAGAGAGAGAGAGAGAGAGAGAGAGAGAGAGAGAGAGAGAGAGAGAGAGAGAGAGAGAGAGAGAGAGATGTATGCCTGTGTGTGTACTGTATGTGGGATGCATCAGTGAACTGATCGATATGCAGCTGTCTGGGGCTCCACAGGAAGTCAGGGAATGTACTGCAGTCAGCATGGATCTATACCAGCTCACCAAGATAAGAAAGCACACACACACACACACACACACACATATCAGATAAGTGCCACTGAGGGTCTATTTCAAAGCAGGAAGAATGGCAGCTTGGCAGGTGCCAGAGGCTCTCAGGGACCTGGAGGTTTCCTGTAAGGAGTGCAGGGAGGTCAGGGGAGCTGGGATGTGTCAGCAGCAACTCAAAATGCAAACATTTTCTGTAATACTTACTGTATATCAAACCACACCTAAACTGTGAAAATATGACCATATACCAAAAGCAGTACTCAAACTAGCTTATTAACATCTCTCAAAGCTAAAAAAAAACATGCCTAAGTAATATAATGTGACTAATCTCTATTGGCAGATATATACTGTATATAATAACCAAATGTACCTGAAAATTATACCTTGGTCAGAGTAAGGAGACTACAGAAAGGTCCTGCTTTGGTCTAGACCAAAATAATCTGTTGAAGAAGCTGCTGTGTCTACACTTGATGACAATCATTTGTTAAGTAACTGTGGTCACCCTGAGTTTGCATGATAAAACACAGATTGTTCCATAAATTCTTTCCAGTGTTGTTGTGTCTTTAGCTGCACTGGAATCAAAACAGTTAGTACTGGTTATATAATGGTTTCAGCATCTGGAAACCTCCAGACTTGACCACAGGCCAATACTGGGAATCTACGCTCCTGCCCAACCTTGACACAGGAAAACAGGGCGAGACAGCCAACACAGCCTTAGGCTGGGCATCAGGAGAGAATGACAATATTTATATTTATATCAGCGGGTTAGGATTTCTGGCACCATAACATTGTCGCACCTGTTATTTCAGTCAGCTTAAGGTGCCAGGTTTCAGGGTGAGGGGTTAGGTGTCCGACCCTCTCAGGGCCAAGGGTGTGTATGGCTGTGTGTGCGCATGGGCGCGTGTGCCTTTGAATGTTTATGTACATGAATGGGCATATGTGTGTATATGTGAAAATTTACCAGACAGTGCAGTAAACACAACACTAAATAATAATACAGGTATTTTCATGTTGTAGACAGGCAAACAAAAAGGTAAGAAGTGAGATGGTGAAAACTCATCACAGCACCTGACAAACAAAATCACACACATTTGGAAAAAGGAATGCATAAACATTTATGGAGGGATACATTTCACATACAGCAACATACAGCAGAAAAGCACAGAGACACACACCCACACTATGAAAGTAATTTAAGGTTCCTCTGCTGCTGTCACATAGCTCTGCAGTCATCACTCAGAGGAGACATCATAGTGTCACCAAAGATGTCAGTCAATAAGACTGAAGGAGCCAGACAGTCATCTGGTTTTGGTGCTTCATCTTTGAGTTGAACAGTCGTCCTCTTGATGCACACAGAAATATTTCTGTGCTATGTTTGATTGAGAAATATTATTACATTTATTGTTAACTTCAATCATTCCTCCTACTGCAGGCTAAGGATTGAAGAGGCCTGAACCAGGGCATGGCAACTGCACAGTGGCAAGGTCGGCTTAGCTTGTCGTTTGTGAACAAAATTTATTGGAGAGTGGAGAAAATAATACAGGTTAAATAAGACTGAAAGTGTTTGTCTACAGGGCTGCTCAACTTCTGAAATAGCACGTTATAATAATACTCCCTGTATAATGTGTTATGTTGTACTGCTGCTTTCATACTTACCCTTCACAAACGGAATTAAGCTGCCAAGAAACTATTTTGTGTAATTATTTGAGAAAACTAGTCAGTAAAAGCTGCACAGCGTGACAACAGCACAAGTGTAACACAAACGTTAATACTTCGGCATGTGATATCAAAAGAGAAGATAAATCATTTAGTCCTTATGTTTATTACACAAAAAGAACAGCAAAGGCATCACCTTCATCATGATATGATTCACCACTTTGACCCACCACTCTGTACTACTTAGCTGAGAAATGTCTTGATATGTGACTATTCAGAATTAGTAAAGGTAGAAAAATGCTTCTTTTTGTTGTTTGTTTCACAAGCATCATCATTTCTGCTATGCACTAAAGCAGGCTCTCACAAATGTTGTAACATATACTTTAACTGGAAAACAAAATAGACTGTAAAAATAAATGCCATTATAGACAATGCATGTAAGTTTCAAATCAGGAAAATGCATATAAAGAAACCAGCCTTTGGTACAAAGTTATTAAAAAAGGAAATCACATTTACAGCTTTGCGTTACTGTAATCATGAAAAATATAAAGCTAGTTGTGAATGTAAAGCAAAATGTTTGTCACAGGCAAGGTACAGTCCAGGCATGTACTGTAATATTCAAGACAGTAGAAAACTGCTTTATTTAGCACAGCGACAGTGATGCTAGAGGAAAATCTCTGCTCCACTGCCTGTATCTCTGAATCCAACATGATGCTGCATATTGTTCATCCAACATAGTTTGTGCAAAAAGCACACAAAACATGTTGCACACAATATACAGTATATTAAAGACATTCTGGATTTCATTTGGTTAAAACCTTGTCAGATCATTTGAATAAGAGCTAGCATCACTTTTAATGTGTAAATACAGTATTTAGGACAGAAGGAGTCGTGAAGGGTCTGCTGTTGCTAGATCTTGCAAGGCTACACAAGAATCTACACCTGAGCATAGGATATCCATTCAGGTTGGCATGATGAATGATGCATTAGTTGTAGAAAGTGATGTTTTCACTGAGGCTAAACATGATGCCTGGCAGGTTAATCAGAGCATACTGCTGAATATGTGAAGCCGCTTCAGATCCTTTTTTGCTTTCCTTGCCTTAGCCTCCACTGGATGCTGCATACATTCTAAAAGGTGAGTTGTTGAACTCACAACTAAAAGCACTTCTGAGTCTGTAGGAGTGGAGAAGCAGTCTGGGTTTGGTATGCACAACAGTAATGAAAAAAAGGAAGGCTCGGGGTACAGAAATGATCACTAAAGGCTTCTTGTTGGTTCACATGGTGAGGTGGGGATCAAATGATGACAGTCTCCATATGAAAAGCGTGTGAGTAGGTAAAGGAGGAAGTGTGTTTCTGGAGGGGGATGGATTGAGGCACAACTGGAGTGGTGCAGGGAGAGGAGGAGGTGGAGGAGGAGGAAGTTGGGGAGCGGCTAGCCCATCGGGAGGGGAGGCGTCGGTTGGCTGGACGGGCGGGCCTCGAGAAGTTCTTCTGCACGGGGGAAGAGGAGACAGAAGACTCTTCGTTCTCCTGTGGAGAAACAAATGAATTACCATATAGGATTATCACACCGCTCCCAATAACAATCAAATTCACACACTCAGATACTTTACATTTTGTCACGTGTTCCATCTGTAGTCTTCTTGACCCTGGGGGAAACAACAGGCATATTTCAAACAGGAACTACTACATTCAGCCCGCTCATGTGGAAAGGTCACACAAGTAGATCCCATTCCTCTTGGTGAAGAGAGAAGCATCTGAACTGAAATACTGCTGTTCTGCCGCCACTTAACAGAACTCATTTGAGCATTTTGTTTTGGACAGTGCACCTCGGCTGAGGTCAAACTAAACTGGTGCATCTAATTACGTTCTTTTCATGAGGTCAAATAAAATTGGCTTGATAATCGCTCCCACAATTTCTTTAACATTTGCATGACTTTAAAGGAGCGTAATCACTTCAGCTTTCTCGTTTCTGTGGTCTGCCAAGGGCATTTAGTCAGCTGGCTTCTTGCAGATACTTCTGTAATTACAACACAAAGACCAGAAAAACACTTCTTCCACTACGAGGCCCCACGGAAAGACTGAAAGATAAAAGACAAGTTGATGAGGTTGATAGACCTCCTGCCAAGTTTAAACGTTATATGCACACTACCATTTCCTTTTGTTAGGAGCCTTTAAGCAATGGAATGGCCCAGATGCCCAGATTATAATGGAGGCTCTGGCCTGCTTCTGTCTCTTAGCACATACCAGAAATAAACAACATTCCCACAAGAGCTGTCCTCAGTCAAGGGCAATTGCTTAGTGTCTCAGAATGGAATGAAACAGAACAAAATGTGCAAGTTCATCCAGGTCCGCCGGTGTAATTGGCCTTGGAAATCAAGTTTGACTTAATTGTATTTTAGTCAAAACAAAATACAGATATTTTATTCCAAGAAAATGCTTCTAAATGTTAACATCTGTATAGTGAATAGCACAACTGCTGAGGGGCAAGCTGGGTGCTTATATGTGAAAGTGTGAATATAGATCGTACATATCAGACGCTACCCACCTGCACTGATAGATGCACCTCTTTCACACCCATGGTACTGGAACTGTGGCTGCTGAGCTGTGCATGTCTGGTGTGTGTCTGTGAGGCGTGTGAAGTCTGTGTGTGTCTCATCATGGGTGGTAAGGGCAGAGGGTCCATGTCCAGTATGTCCAGTTCTGTGACGTTCTCCTCCTGCCTGACACTGGCGTTGAGACTTGAAGCCATCTCGTCCTGTTGGCAGTGGTTCTGTTGAGCCCGGGCTGCACTCTCATAATTCTTCAGAATCCTTTCCACTGCCCCGTAGTTGGACCTGGATCCCTCGGGCCGTGGGTACGCAGCCAGAGTGAGGGGCTTCCAGGGATGGTCATTCATCATTCGAGGCCCAGGTCTGGAGGAGTCAGACTGGGAAGGAGGAACGGATATATGCCTCGGCTGTGCCTGGTGCCCTGGCTGCGTCAACTGTCTTTGTTTGTTCTCAGCAGACTGGAGTGAGACAGCAACTCTGGCTGGCTGAGACTTTGCACCAATCATCTCACTCCTGAAGCTGGAAGCATTCACATTCTGACCTGGCTGGTTATTTGCAGGCAAGACAGGCTCAGAAAAAATATCCTCTGTGGCGGCTCTCTGTTGTGTTTTCCTGGAAGGACTGCTTGCTGTTTGAACTTTGTGCTTGACCTCAGAATGGTGTGTAGGACTGTGAGGGGTTACTGTGGTTTCTTCCCTAAGTCCAGTCTGCCGCTGTTCAGATGAAAGTTTCACTCTGACCTCTTGACCTTCAGGACCACATCTCCTTGGCTGTACTTCATGAACTGTGGAATCTGAGGTGGAGAGAGGTAATGGGACTTCAGGATTCACACCAGTGACGGTAGTGGTGACATCAGTACAAAGTGACTTAAGTGTTGTCTCCCTGGGAGGTAAAATCTCATCTGATGCACAAGTTTCTGAGTAGAGTGGTTGGCAACCCACAGAGCAGGCATCTGGTACTGTAAAATTGTCTTGTTCCGCTACGTCACGACCCATCTCAGCTTGAAACAAAGTTCTGTTGAACTCAGCTGTTTTTTGTTCCAGCATTATGTTTCTTCTGGAGCCCTGGATGTGGAGGCTGGCAGGTGACATTTCAAGCGAGGATATGAGCAAATCGACAGGTAATTCTTTGACAGTCTGAGGTATTTGTAGCTCAGGGCTTAAGTTCCCAACACCAAAGTCTTTTCCAGCAGTCAATATGTTGACTTCAGAGAAGCTTTTCTGGACAGTCCCGTATGTAGACAACTTACTGCTACTGAACTTGCTTGCATCACATGACCAGCGGTTGTGGCAGCAGCCGACATTACAGTTAGAGTTAGCGGGCACAGAGCACGATGTTACCACACCGTCTATTAAAACTTTTCCTTCATTTTCTTGTAGCATGGCCCCGAACTTCCTGACAATAGATGGGCTGCTACACTTTCTGTCCCCTAGAACACAGGGGCTATGGCACTTCCTCACTGTCGTCATGGGGGATTCTGGGATGTGGAGTTCTGTGTCTAGATGGGTGGGGGTACTCAGGTTCCAGGAGGAGACGCGGGGAGGGATGGGTGGAGCCGCTGTGTCAATCTCAGAGAGTACTCCAGGGCTCGTCTGTGTTTCTCTGTAGCTGTCTGGGTCAGTGGTGTTTGCTCTCCAGGATTTGCTTGGCATTCTGTTGGCCCGCCAGGTGTTATCTGGTGACAAGGTGATCCAGTTTTCCCTCTCCAAGGCCCGCAGGTCATCGTAAATCTGGCTTAGGTCACAGGGTGCTTCGTCCGCCTCCAGTGGGGATTTATCATGGCAAAACAGCATCTCGCTCTCCTGCGGCAGGCTCAGGGATTCAGATCGATTCCTGAAAGGAAATAAACAGTGAGGTGCATTTACTCCAGTCACTTTACATAATAACTCTATTTACATCTCATATATAAATAATTCCACTCGTGACTAGTTTTCAAGAGAGACATGTTAAAATATGACTTATCATTCACTTTCACGCCGCACTGATACAAATGTCTATATTATGTGCATAATAAGCACATCAAGACACCACAGGTGGAGTGATTATCGTAACTCCATGTTGATGCCGGGAATATAACTATTATTTATTTACCTCCTTTCCCCGCTCTTCTTTCTGATCTCATCCTGGTAGCTACAAAGCTCCTCGCTTACACGGGCTATCTCCTTCAGAGCCTGAGACACAGAGAAGGGGAGACAGAGATACAGTGAGACATGCTGAAAGCTGTGCAATGTACAAATAAAACATAAAACTGGGCTTATTAAAGAGCATTATCTATTCAAAGAAACCGATGAATGACAAAGACAGGTATACAGGAGAGAGTACCGGGAGGATGTCTATACTGTATTTAAATATAGTGTTTTTAGCAAAATCGTGTGAAAGACTCACAGCATTGAGAGCAGTGGTGTTCTTCTTCTTGTCGCTGCTGTAATTCAGCTCTGACCAAAGAGGACTTTCTCGGGGGCTCACGTGGACATTCTTTTCATTTTCTTTAGAGAGATTTTTCTGCTGCACTCCGCATCCAGGAACGCCATGAAAAATAGCATCCAGCTCTGTTATATCCACAGCTTCTTTGCTGTCAGTGCCCAAGTCTTGCTGCCAAGTGCATCTGGATCTTAATTCAGGCACCAGCTGATGTTGTGAACGGTCATTCTGAGTGAACTGACCACCAACATTTAATTCACAGAGGCTGTCTACTTCGAAGCAGGTGGAGCGGTGACTGTCTGTGCCGACACAACCACTGCCACGGTTGTGACCAAAAACAGGTAAAGGTGAACGTCTGGTTGGTTCTGGCTGACTGCTGCTGCTGCTGAGCGGCTCGGAGCGGGAGTTGTCACTGAGGAAACTGGAACCAGTGCTGGTTGAGCGTACGCTGAGCCTATGTACGACATCATCATTGTCCTGCCTCCCACTGTCCTGTTCGGTACCTTCTCGCTTGGCCCTCACTTCACAGTACAGCTAGAAAATAGGAAGAAGAATCTTTTTTTCAGCTTTTGTTGAGTAAAGCAAAAATTGTCCTTTTGTAAAAGAATCCTTTAAACACAACAGTAGATTTTTCAATTATTGAGCAAAACCAATAATTTAACTTTATCAGTCAAATACATCAAATACACACAAATAGTTACATCTATCTCATAGTATTATTATATTATCTATTAGATCAAAAAGGTATACCCAAGTCAGAGTATTGTGTTCAAAGGGGCACACATTATGAGCCTACAGTATATTGTATGACTGTCTATACAATATATGGGTCAAGAATGAAAGGATCAGGCAATATAAAAAATGTCAATGGCATAATATCTTTATACTGACAGTACTAAATGCATCTACTGCTCCTGCATAATCACAAACTAAGGATGATGGAGAATAGGATGATGAGAAGCATAGCAGCAAATCTTATGAACATATTTAGACCACAGAAGATTAAAAAAACATTCAAAGAATTCTTTCAAATTAAATTGGATAACCTCTGGCCTCATACCATGGAATCCTAAAATAGTAACTATTTCATGTTGACTGGCCTCCCCTCCCATCACGCAATGCCTAGATGGGACTACTGCCTTTTAGCTTGCTTTATTCCTCTACTGTTTTCCTCTCTCATTTTCTGGTCTCAGAGGGCCAAATGAGAGCCACATGTTCTTTTCATAGCAAATTGTTCCAGTGCCTTCGCACTCTGTCCAACTACTTTTATATGGCTTCCCTCATTAAAAACACTAATCTGCTCTTCTGGGCATGTCAGATTTTGACTCCAGCTTTGTCACCACCCATGCTAAACTGCCTCATTCTTTACCTTTGTCCCACTCTCTTAGGCCCCTTAATTTGCTCTGAATCTCTTCTCTCTCTGACCTATCTTGTACTGTTATACTTCTTCTAAGCTCCCCCTTTTCTAAGCCAACTTAGCTGAAGAAGATCAATTTTCTCATTAGGGCTGAAAGAAACACGTTTTCATTATAAATAAAATCTGCTGAATACTTGGTCGATGAATTGATTTATTGTTTGGTCTATAAAATAATAGAAAGTGTTCATAAGAGGTTCCTGGAGTTCAAGGTTAGGTCTTCTAATTGCTTGTTTTGTCCAAACAACAATACAAAACCTAAATATATATTTGCTGTCAAGACATGAAGATGTACTAACACATAGCAGCAAACTATTACATTTTAACCAGTTAATTTTTGCCATTTTTGTTTAAAAAACACCAAAAAACGTCTATTATCAAAATTGTTGCAGATTACGTTTTGGTCAATCAACTAATTGATCAATTGACTAGTTGTTTCATATTTACTTCTCATATTTACCTAGAAAAATTCTGCTAAAGTATTCTAACTAAAATCTAAAACTGATCTAATATTTAGTTAAACTGACATGATCAGGCATATTTCTCAATATGAACAGATCAAGACTTCCCTAAAGGTTTGTTTATTTATTCATTAAATTTTTCATTTATAAACAAATGACTAATTTGACACAAAGATGGTACTAAAGCTGATGATACACGGAGCAACTTTTAGAGCAATCGTGCAGGGCAACGTTGCCATCAATGGTAATGAGTAAAGATTACTACCGTAATCCCCTTCCCCCACCACTCCGCCACCTGCCCCGCACCGCCGCTATCTGTTCAAAACATAGTCGGACTTGCCACTAGCAACATTGCCCAGCAACATTGCTCAAAAAGTTGCCTCGTGTATCATCAGCTTAAGGCCATATGAATCAGCTTATAAGCCATATGAATGCACTTTCTATTAACCAAACAACATTTTTATTATAGCCACCTATGGAGTAGTATATTTTTATCTATTAATCTCTCTCACAGATGTCTCTGTTGCATGCCAGCTTCTCTGTCTACATCATTCCAGGTCATAGACTGTCTCAATCACTGCCTCTCTCAATATACAGCAATAAGAGAAATAGTAGAACCCTTGCCCCCCTCCTTCCACTACTTCCTTTCCTCATCCTCTGCAGCTGCACTGATCAGGGATATTGTTTTGACAGTGCTGATGGTGAACAGGATGTGTAGGAGGGAAGCGTTAGACACTGTAGGCTACATAGTGCATAGGACAGCATATCCCATATACAAAAAACGTAGATAAGTTTCATAAGTTTGGATATGGTATTACATACTTTTGAGGGGCTTCCTTTAGTTATTTACTTGCTTTACTTTTACCTATAGCCTAAATCTAACCGTAACCCCAAAACAAATCATTAAACCTTGACAAAAATGCAGAAATATTCTCATTCAGACAGACAGTCAGAGCACCTTACCCCTTCTATTTTCCTCTGCATATCCTTCAGCTGGCTCTCCCACTCCCTCCTCTCCACGTCGAACCTCTCAAGCAGCTCGGCTTTCTCCCTTAACCAGTCTTTCTCATTGTGCTCCATGCGACAGCGCAGGTCCATGGCTGTTGAATGTGTGTCTGCCAGGAGCCTCCGCTGCACTTCCCTCTCCTGGCGGAGTGTTGAGGTCTCGCCGTGCTGTTCTCGAGCACTTCGTGATGCCACAGAGCCAGGACCTCCTGCCAACTGGACCCCGCCACTGACCAACCCGGCCCCCTCTCTAGATTCCAACTGAAGAGAAAGAAGCAGACAGGGAGTACAGAGGGCACAGAGGAGGAGAGAAAAGAGAGACAGTGGAGAAAACAGTCAGTGGTGATAAAGGAGAGATTGCCGTGGGGAGAGAGGATGAGAGCCAGATGGCAAGACAAGCAAGGCAGGAGTGAGAGAATTTGTTAAAAGTGGAATTAGGAGAATGAAGGAGTGGTAGGAAGAGAAGGTGGAGGAAGTGGGGAAATTATGCACCATGGGGACGAGTGTGTGTGGGTTCAGAGGAGGGAAGGAGAAGAGAGATTTATTTTTTTAGAATTAAAAAGATGAAAATATCCTGTAAGAACTCACACACAGGGACGATGGGTTCAGGGTTCAAGTCTCTTTTCTAAGGTAGTTCACTAACACAGGATACAGTGCAGGATACGGCAGATTCAAACACTGTCTGCAGAGGATGCATGTGGCCTCAGTGAAACGATACTCGCTGTGCTCATACTGCCGTACCAGTTTTTAGAGAAACACAGATTCATACAGAAAATCTCTCTCAACACAAATAAGGCCAAAACGTCTGATTCCTTTCAACGCTGACATTACGCAAATGTTTTATTGGGTTCAACTGGACATTTTTGTTTGGATGAGAGTATTACTGTGCCCCTATTCAATGCCCTTTTTGAGTTAAAATACCCTGGGTATTTCCCCTGGGAATTTCACTGTGTTGGGGCCAAAAACATGGTGTCACTTTACTGAGAAAAGAATAAGAAACGTTGCAAAACCACACCGCGCTTTGCACTGTGCTTCTAAGTCAGAGATCAAGAGCATAAAAAACTGACTGAATTTGATAACAAAGATTTAAGTCTTGGTAGTCTGATGTGTACCTCTAGATAAGATTATTGTGCTCGGAAAACTAATCAAATATGTCCTAGATCTGTACATTCTGTGATATGTGCATTTCTGTTGCTCTTAAAAATAGAGAAAAACATGTTGGCCTTGGAACTGGAAAGAGCCCAAGACAACGCCTGTGCATATATGCTTGTGCCTCTATGTTTGTGTGTTAGAAAGTGGGAGAGAATACATACGGAGCATGCCTGAGTGTGTTATTTCAGCGTTCAGTCACAGACAGCGACCAAAGCCTTCTTACAAGCCTCGGCCATGGTACTATTTCTGCCTGTGGCCTGGGGTCATGAAATGATGGTGGAGAAAAACAAGTCACCCCTTTCTGTCTGCCTGTGGCTCTTCCAAAAGTTCTCCACAATTACAGATGGATGTTGATGGGTGCTGTCCACAGCCTATTTAAAACATCCCAATGTAAACAAATAGTGAAAGTGCAAAAACAAGAAGCTCGGAGTCAAAATTAAAGAGCTGAAGAGCCTTTTCATTGATTGAGACAGCAAAAAAAAAAAACTTATTCTTAGGGGATATTCAGGAGAAACTTTACATGCAAACAGGAACACAGGTCAACTTCATTACAGCCAGCACAGGGAAAACACACTCATTCATGCATACACAACACAAGTCGGTCTCAAGGAGAGAGTTCCCACTATTCTTGTACACCCTGTCTGTCATTGGATGGCACAGGGTATATGAAGGTAACTGTGTCACCACGGTGACCCACTATAAATAGCAGACACACAGCCTTGTACAATGTCACATTCCTAGGGGAGGCGGGGTAAAGAGAGGAAGGGAAGTTGGCTGCTAAGGCAGAGTGAGATGTCTCCTAGCTGCCAGCAGCTTTCATAAACCAGTGGCATGCGGAGAAATATGCCTGGAAATATCCAGCCTAAGACCTCTGCCTGGGACTCTGGATGTTTGCTTGCTATGTGGTGGGGGAAATGCCTAAAAAGGATGTGGAAACAACATACAGTAGTTACATTCTCAGCCATGATTTGGCCAAACTGTTTGTAGCTACAGGGCTTTGGATTCAATCAAGTGACCAACAAAAGGGATGTAAACTAGCTGCTATCCACAGCTAAAAAATATGTAGAAAGATGTGGAAAACGTATGCATGAAACTTTATTTATAAAGCAATTATGTGAATTTAAGCAGACTCTCCTGGTTAAGTACAGGTCATCTTCACCATGACAACATGCAAATGCCATTTCACTTACGGCTTCATTTCAAATGACCTCAAAATTCAAACTTACTGGACCCAGATCCTTAAGTGTCCAACACTTCTTCCATTCACTGACTTCAGGTTTGTATAACACACTTGGCTGCTTGGATAATCCTCTACAGTATTCTGGTCACCTGCCCCCATTTGTGTGCAGCCGCTTTCAAAGACTCTCTAAAGTGCAGTAATGAACTAACAAAAGCTAGCTGTCCAGCTAGCAGTGGAATACTAATATGTTTATCATATAAAAATGCAAGGGACAGTTATGTTGAGTCTTTGATTGTGTGACTCATTCAGTTGATATACAGTGCATGTTAATTCTACAATTACTTTTCAAATCAAAGTTATTCTAGATGTCATCATTGTGATCAGTATCAGCATTCAAACTGACCAAACAATTACCTTCTACCTCCCCAACACCCTCTGTTTTTGCTCTGTGCCTGAGCTACAAATGGGATCTCCTCTGCACTTATACAGCAAAACCAACATGTAGAAAAATGACAGGAGTCTCTCGTCCATCCTGAAATTGTTCACATGTGAAATGAACTTACTCACTCAACTGACCTCCTCGCATTGATTTGCATGCATTGTTGTCTGCTTTTTAGTGTGGTTCCAGACCTCCGAATCGCTCCCCACACCTGATTTGAAAAATTAATGAAGTGACATGAAATGGCAATTCAGTTTGATTATCAGCCTACTGTCTTTTGTGTTCATGGCTAAAGGACTGTAACAGATTATTAAAAAAAATATGATTTCAGCAACCTTGTCTAGGATCAACAGCCAAATTAATGTAATGCTACATTCTTCAACTATAACCAAAATTGGTTAGAAACCTGTTACAAATTTACTCTAAACTGCCCCATGAGGGGTTAGAAGTTAGTTAGAAGCCTCTAAAGTCTGTAAATGAGTCATCTGATTACTGAGCTGCGAATGATTTCAGAAAACCTGACTTGATGTATTTTGAACCTGATGAACAACCCTAGATTAGAAAGTGGTAAACATGTACCCAAAACTATAAACTGTGGCAGGATGTGACAAAACAGTTTTTACAATTGAGCTCACCCCGCCCTACATAGCTTAGCTCCAAGTCACACTTCCCTTGGTCTGTTTGTGCAATCAATATAGAAATGATTGCGTGTGTGTGCATGTCCCATTCAAAATTATTGTTCAGTTTGAATGTTGACACATGCTTATTATATGAGCACTTTGTTGTGTGTGTGTGTGTGTGTGTGTGTCATCATGGTATAACCCCTTTCAGATGATTAAGCCTCTTTCTCCCACTGCCACACTGGGTTTTTCACACACAACAAAAAAAGAAAAGTAAATGTCTCTGTTTTTATGAGGCTCTCTCTCACCCACAGTGTGAGAAGGCACAGAGCCAGCAGAATGAAGAGAAGAGCTGAACAGTAACATTGTGCCATCTACTCGCACAGAGAGGTGTGTTTGTGTGTGTGAGAGATCTTTGATCTGGGAAAGCCATGTTACTATGTTGCATTTGGTTTTTCTAGTAGCTTCAGAGGACAAACAAAAGGAGAGCTGTGTGCTGGGTGAATGCGTGACCAATCGGTTTTAAGTCTGTGAAAGAAATTATAAGGGGCTCAACTGGGATATAAAGATACTATAGTGACAACATCACAAAAAAACTAGAGATACAACAACATTCAGCACACAGAGAAATCAAACTGAGCAAACATCAGAGTGAACGGTTTAAAATACCAAAGGGTGAACAAGTCTGATCGGGTTCTGACTTCAACTTTTAGGCAACCAAATAAATCCATCTTCTGATATAACGAGAAAAAAAAATTCTAAATCCCTAAAGCCTGTTGCTTTGAAGAATAGTATGCATGGTCCTTCAAGTGATCCGTGCAATGCCTGACACAGCATGGCACAGGTATGCAAACTTAACTCAGACACACACACACACACACACACACAGAGGCTGTCAATGGCAACAATAGGTTAATATTTCATCTACTTTAGAGCTAGCTACTAAAAGCCAAGTTGGGTGTCTGTGTCTGGCTGAGCGGGGATAACTGCGTTTGTCTCCTCGGTGCAAATCTTTTGTCTGAGCTGAGGCTTGAGCTGGATGAATGCCAGGGGGACTTATCACCCTGCCATGTGGTTGGCAAACGTGGCGAGCCCAATTTACACCAAACTGGAGGCCAGACATGCACATATATTTGAAAATACACAAAAACACCCAGGAAACAGTATTGAAACTAGTTGCGTACAAGGATTCTTTACATGCAGTACAAAACTTAAGTACTGCTGTTAAACAAGATTAGTGTTACTTTGTATTTGAGTAACTGCCAATATACTGTGCATGCACCTGCATAGACAAGCATGCACACAGGAAAATGCATAACTAAAGGAATTTTTTTTGTATATGGTTTTGAATGCAGTCTTTAACTGCAAATCCCTCCACACATCATCATCATCCTTGAGTTACCTGTGCAATCCTGCATTTGAGCTCAGCCTTCTCCAGCTCCCAGGCACATCTGTCTCTGGTGTACTGCAGCTGGAGCTCGCCCCTCTTCTCCTCCTCTCTCTTCACCTCTGCCTGCACTTCTTCCAAAACTGTCTTCAGGTCCAGCAGAATCCTCCTGTTCTCCCCTCCCTGCATGGACACAGTTGACAGCAATGGTGTATTGTAATCACTTTTGATAAACTTGCATAAATGAAAGTTATGGTATCACACTTCCCAGATGTAACTGTAGCAATAAGAGAAGAACTGAATGAAATCAATACTTGACAATAAACTGATGCTTAAGGGTGTATCACATTTTGAATTATTTGAAGCCCTAAGGAATATTCTGGGAATATAAGAGAATATACCATTAAACACAACAATATCACTGTGAGGGTGCAAGTGTTTTGCACCACAGACTGCTAAAAGGCACACAGACATATTATTTAGCATTCACGGGGGTAGTAAATATTCCCATTACTTGTATATCTGCCACTTCTCTCAACAATGACTCCTTCTCGCGCATCCATTCTTCCTTGTCATGTACGTGTCTCTTTTTCAAATCCTCAAATTTCTTTTTAAGCCGCGTGTGTGGCGTTTGCTGCTGCTGCTGGGGTTCCGGACCCGGCCACATTTGTCGCCTGAGGACCTCAAGCTGCGCCCCTGCTCCACCTTCTCCGCCACCCGGTGTAGCATCGAACTGGGCTTCGTAGAGCTGACTGAAGACGGTGGGAGGAGAAGAGATCCTCCTCCGCGGGCTGCGGCTTTTGCCCCTGCCCCTGTCTGCCTTATCCATCCTGGAGCACGGCACAAACTCCCATCCCTGAGACGGGACGTAGCCCCCACCAGCACCGCCCCCACCGTGCAGCCCCGAGCCGTTCATAAACGCACTCCACATTCCTCCAGCGCATTAAAATAAAACATTTTTAAAAACAACTTAATGCGAATAATTATTAGAAACTGGCCACCATGGTATTTTGTATCAATTTCTGCCTTGTAAAGCATAAATTGAAATTTATTTTGATACAGTTCAGCATACTTTCCCATCTCCCTACTCAAACTGTTTTTCAGTTAGTGACCGGTGGCATACAGAAAGCGCAAATTATCCAAACCCGGCCAGATCTCCCGTCGGCCACACGGCAGCGTTCAGAAAAGCCGCCACTGCTGTGCTCATACAGGCGACGGGACGGGACGCTTTGGTCCCTTCCATATCCTCAGAGACGAGCGCAGGCCGTCATTCTTGTGCTAGAGACCACACGGTGTGCTGTTTTTATCTTTCAAAGACCTCCTTACTGCTGCACCCCCGCGCTGTTTTCCTTTTACATGTTTGTATCGAAATCTCAGGACGCACCGTGTCGCCTCTCTCCCTTGCGCATGATCGTTGCAGGCGACAAACCAGAGCTGGCAAAGAAGGACACCCAGTAATCAATCCGACGCGATTGGGAGAAGTTCCCAAAAATATCACGGAGCGTACTGATGTAAGAGCAGGAGATATTTTTACCCCCTGTAACCAAGAGTTTATTTTACTAAAGCCAGATAGCCGAACTGTGTCTGGAATAAACAGCAGAGGAACATCCATTAATCAACACCGTCTGCTCTAATTACGTCGCAGGATGCCACCTTGCGCTGTATCCCTGGAAACAAATCAATTTACGCACCGCACAGTGGCAGACCCAAAACAGCTGTAGGCTATGCTGACCTCATTTTAGAGGCAATAAGCCACTTATTGCGGCGTGAGAGCCGTAATGGTTACACTATAACGTCAGTTATTCTTGCAAAATACGCGGTAGGCGTCTTACCTTGTCCGCCCGTTTGCTTACTTTCCCCCTTCCTCATCCGCAGCAGGAGTAGGCCACCATTATGCCATTTCTCATCCAGCTACTATCTTGAGAGGGGGATGACTATCACGAGGAAAACGACGAGGCGTTGGGTTGTATTAATCTTGATTTAACACGCTTGGTGAAAGTTTTCTCGTGTCAGCTTTCGTCAAACGTGCTCGAGCGCAAAACAAACTTCCACTGTCTGAAGCCACACGAAGTAGCCTACGTGCCATTTGGACGAATAGACCCTTACCTCTTCCTCTAATATGGTCCTGAATGTTGCATTGAATGTCCTTGGGAAAAAAACAGCCACCTATATTTAAGCCAACGAAGTAGGTGAAATGAGGTCTAGACTGGAATGCAGTTCAAAACAACTGGAGAGCCTACAGCTGAAATGATGCTTTCATTAACGAGAATGAAATCCTCCTTTCTCTCTCTTCTCCCCTCTGCCTCTTTCCCCCCTTCTCTTTCTCCACAGCTGGCCCTAATATGTGACGTAAAACATCCCACCGGTGGGATGAAAGAAGTGGACCGGTTCCGCCCCCGTTCTGGTGGTCAGGACCGTTGGTTAAACAGATCCACCAGCTGCACATTTTTTGGCTGGATATTTTAGACCCACCCGAGGGCATTTTGACACAATTTTGAAAGTCACAGAATCCAACAGGAGTAAAATGTCATTGATCCTATCACATTTCCCATGGATGTTTGGGTGATTTGTCACAGATTATGTTGACATTTTATCATGACGCACACGGTATAGTTGCCTAAATGGAACTTGCAAGAGACAGGGGCCTAAGATCTGGTTATGGCTAGGAGTGCAACAGGAATGGTTTAAGCCTAAAAGTTGTGTGGGTAAAGAAAACCGTATGACCTTTTGGCTCTACAGACCCAATTAAAACTTCACTAGATAAACTGAAACAATGTGGTGCACAAGCTACCAACAAAGCTGTTTCTAGCTCAGATTTTGGAGACCAGATTTGAGCTGTTTGCAACATTACGGATTCTTAACGCAAACACAACACAACAAAAAAGGCCCCGCACACCCACAAAGGCGTTTTCTTTTAAACTGGAAGAGAGTTCAATGACGCACTCACCTAACACTCTGCTGTCGCTCCAAGGTGTTTGGTCTCCAGTAAATGTTGAAAGCATCTGAGTAGGTGAGTGGCTTGGATCATACATGGGAAATGATAATGTCCTGTACCTTGAGTGACCTTATGTGACGTGTTCAACATAACAGAACTGAAATGAATGAATAAGTTTTAAAAGAAAAAAAAAGAAATAATGACAATGTACATAATATATATATTGAGTGCATGCTTTACAGAACAAAGAACAGGGTGAAAAGGAAAACCAATTTAAAAATGGTGGCGTAAGAGAGCGAGGAAAACAGAACAAGGATGAGAATCAGCAAAATAATGGGCTGAAACATCTTGATGGATGATTGTCAATTGAGAAGGGCGAGACAGAGGGAGTGAGGGGAAGATTGACAGGCAGTAAGAAAAGTTTATATTAGAGAACACAAAAGATACAATTAAAGCCATTCATTGATGTGTTTGCATCAGCTTACAGACAGTGGCTCCTCTGCTTGTTTATCCTCCTGCTTGGGGACATCCAGTCGGTCAATGAAGCTCTGCAACTCTTTCCTGAAGGCCTTCATCTGGGCGTTGATACGATAGAGCAGCTCATGCTCTCTGATCCTGTGGAGCAGAGGTAGAGTTTGTTTGGTCTTGAAATATCACGTGAAATACTGTAATTCAACAAAAAAGGGTTAGTTGAATGGGCAATTGCTGAGGTTCCTAACCACTGTCATGTGTTTATTACCTGCCACCTTCCTCATCCTCATCCAGCCTGGCAAACAGCTCCCCGTTGGTGACGTATACTCGGGCCTCAGCGATGATAGTGCTGGTGTCAGCGATGAGCCTGTCGATGGTCCGACCCAGCCTCTCCGCCTCGATGCGGATGTCTATCATCTGCTGCCGGTCCTTCAGGCTTCTGGATAAAAAACGACTGTCTACGGGTGAGTAAAGGGAGCGCGTCGGGGTGAGGCAGCGGATGTTCCTCACCTCATCTGAGTCACTCTCCCCTCCAATAGGGCCCTCACGCTTGCGGTGGGGCGGGAGGAGGCGAGGTGAGGAAGCCGAGGCTGAGGGGGTGTCGTCGTCCCGTCCCCCGTCGCTCTCTGCGTCGCTGTCCCGGGGGCTGCTGCGGATGCCCAGGTGGGACGCCAGGTCATAGCGCTGCATGTTGGAGAGCAGCACGCGGTTCTCGTACTGGAGCTGCATAACTTTGCCGCTCAGTTCATTGATCTGCAGACGCGCTGTTTTCAGCTCCTCCTGGAGGGCCTCCACTTTAGCGGGGTCAGCTCCTCCTGGGGTTGAAACAAGGCAACAATGAAAAGTGGAACTCCTCCTGCAACTCCTGGAGGCTTTCTAAAACACATTTTTTCATTAGATACAGATTTGTTACGCTGAAAAAGAAAAGATATCTCTTTCTGTGCAGTGCAGATGTTTTGTCTCCCTCAACAACGGCTTACTGAAAGACACAGAAAAAAATTTAAAACAAACAAACCTCCCCCATGTCTCGATCCAGGTTCATGGGATCCAGCCTTGTATTTCAGTTTATTGAGCTCACCTGTCACCTAAAAATGAAACTGATTGTTATTCCATGTGTATCTAATGCCGCAAGTATTATTCGTTGAATTTCTTGTGGATGAGGCTTAGAAAACAGACAGCTTTTACAAAAGGCCTCAAAGTCATTGATGATGCCAATAATAGCACCAGATACACAAGGAAAGAGGAGAAAAATTACATCTTACATCGCTGAAATTAAAACAGGCTGATAAGGCTTCAAATAGAGAGCGAACAAAACAGATAGCAGTAACTAGAAAACTAAAGGCTAGTATTTCTATGTAATTATAATTTATTACGTAGTTACTGTATTGCAGTCATACTGTAAGTAGTTTTGTCCTTGGCTCTTGCAGTAAAAATGCAGTGGACATGTTGAGGAAATTTGGCCTTCTTGGAGCACAGTCTAAACCATCTACCTTTTTGTTTTCTTCTTCCACATCTGCTAAATTCCTGCGGAGAAGCTCTGCCTCATCTTCTACTAGCTGAAGCTGCTGCCTCAGCTCTGACAGGGCCTCGCCCTGCTCTCTGCACTGTTGACCTCCGCTACCGGACCCATCCATTCCTGCTGCCACCAGACTAGGAGAGAAGCATTCACAACTGAAATTTAGTTTACAGTGCCATCTTTGCGATTTCCATTTGTGGGAAAATAATGATTTCACAATGTGGTCAAGTTATACTCGACCATGAAAATATTATTTTCCTCATCACAAATAAGAATGAATTCTCCCTAATGTGGAAATATAATGTTTTTTCCTTTCCTGCAGTCATGATGAACAAGTACAAAGTACCTGTTCTCCCTCATGTCATCCAGTTCAGCCTTCAGCCCCCTGTTCTCCACCTCCAGTTCCACGATTTTCCTCCCCAAGATGTTCGCCTCCTCCTCCACCAGGCGCAATCGGAGTTTCAGCTCTGACTCTCGGGTGGTGGGGGGCCCTCCAGCCTCACCTTTAGGCAGCGGGCTATCCACGTCCCCGTAGAAGGAGCGGTACTTCAGCAGCTCCTGCTCCAGTCTGTCCTTCTCCTTGTCAATCTTGGCCATTTTTTTCCTCATTAAGATGGCTTCCTCCTTGATGAAGGCCAGCTGGCATTTCAAATCATCATTTTCTTCCTGTGAAGAGAGAAGAGAGTTTGTTTATTTGCCCATTATGCTCAGTCTTCTTACTGGCTTAAAAATCTGCATTCCTTGGAACAGGTTAATTGCCTCTGCACATATTGTAATAGGTTGACGGTCGTGTTTTTCTTTAATGTTACTTTCACTCATTACAAAGTAGGACTCTCTGGTGTCTAGTTCTGCATATTACATTTTGTTTTAATTTTGAAATTGCATTGTAAAAACAGCCTCAATATTAAACACCTCCACTGAAGTTTATAACTTTATAACCTAATAATGTAAACACTGACGCACCTCAGTTGGGGTCTGTGGAGCCTTTCTCTCTGCTTTTTGCCCATCCTTACTTCCTTTTCGTTTCAGTGAGAGCTGCAAGGAAAAGTGGTTACATCATCATCATCAGCTCACTGCTTTCTTGCTGAAGGTAGTGATATCATCCGGATTTATGGAACACTGAAGGCCCAGTAATGGAAAAATAGGACCGTTTAAAGTCACCCTCAAGAACATTTCTGGTAAAATATTCAAATTCAAATCATGGTGCTTCCAGTGCAAGTACTTTACAGGCATAAAGTAAAAACACCCCCGCCCCCTCCAGAGGAGCTTGTATGTGTTATTCCTTTTATTGTGTTTGTGAGTATAAATGAGTATCTCATAAATCTTAAAAGGACATAATTCTGGATGGTGGTGGACACTGCTGGGATTAACTGAGTTTATCTTTACGGCTTTGGGGGATTTTGCTTTTATAACTCAATGAGACTTTATCTCCAACTGCTTTAGAAATTCTTTCAAATTCAAAGTCCCTGCCAACCCATACATATAGATACGGGCTGCATACCACTTTTTATTCTATTTAGTCTATATGCATTTATCAATAGCACTTAACTGCACTTTTTAAAAACACAGTTTAGAAAGTCTTGTATAGAATTCTGTATGCATATTGTGAATGTCGACTTTACAGTTGTATGTATCAGACATAAACATATATAGTTTGCATCATTACTCCTTGCTCTGTTCACCCTCTCCTCAAACCTTTACAAGTGATGATATAATTCAAAATATCTTCAACCTGACCTTTAATATGGTTCAGGCCATAACTTGCATTGCACTTTCATAAGCACACAGACACAGAAGGTGAAACAAACAGTAGACACACTCCCCATTAACCCCCGTCACCTCTTTGGTTTTCTCCAGCTCATTCTGCAGGGCCTGCTTGGTGACCTCCACCTCTATCAGCTGCTGCCTCAGCTTCTCGTTCTCCTCCTCTGTCTTCATCCTCTTCTCCTCCACATTCTCCAGCTCATGGTGCAAGCGCACAGACACATCCTTCGCCACCTGGGAGAGGGACCCAGACAGACAAAAGGAAAGGAAGATGTTGTTATTCATCATGAACATTTTAGAATAAAGGAGAATGCTCAAACCGTCGTGGACTCACCTTGAGGTCTTGCTCCAGACTTCTGAGCAGCTCTCCATCCACCTGGCCACTCTCTGTGAACCGGAGCCTCTTCCTCTCTGCCTTCTTCAGTCGGTATTGAAGGATCCGACAGTTCTTGTTGGCTCTCTCCAGCTCTCTGCGCATGTCCTGCAGCTGGCATGCGTCTTCCTCATAGAAGGTGTCCCGCATTTCATCCATCTCTGCCCGCATCTCCTCGATTTCAGTCTTAAACACAGAGGAAAAGATGCATCACAAAATGAATAGCAGGGACCATCCAAGTCCCCTACAGTACATCTCTACCTGTCACACATATCCAGCCTGGATCCACAAAGGAAAATTATTTAGGGAGTTTTAAAAGCATATTTTTCATAAAGCATGCAGCTACAGCCTAGTCATTATGCAGCCAAATACAACAGGTGAAAAATGCATGCTAAAAATGACAAATACAAATAGCCAGGCTTGTAACCAATTTACCCTTAGATCCTCATTTTCATCCTCCAGCTTCTCTATCTCTTCTTGTAGTCTCTGGTCTGGCTGTGGAGCCGGTTGTGGACTGTCGGGCTCAGGGGACAGCTCCGGCTCTGAGGCCGGCGGTGATGCCGATTTCGTCTGCATCTTTGTCCCCTTTTTCCCCAAGCTCTTATTCAAATGAAACTGTATTAGCTCGGATTGCAAGCATCCCTCCTTCCAGAAACCGGGTCCGCAGCCTACTGTGCTTTTGGAGCTCTTCTTGTTGCCGCTCGTCGCAGCGGCGGCCTCCCCACCTCTCGGGTTTTTGCTTCTCAATTTAGGGGATTTGGACGCGCAGGGCTGGTCGGATACGACGCGGTTCGGATCCGATCTGGAGGGTGAAGAGGATTCAGCGGCAAGGCGGGGGGAGTCTTCTGGTGTGTGGATACCGCCGCCTCTGTCTGCCGCCGCCACCGCGTGCCTGCTCAGCGTCGGGCTTTCAGCACCAGCAGCCTGGACAGCAGCCGTGCCTCTGATGGCAGGAGCGCCTCCGGCCTGCCGCTCCCTGCCTGTGGAAACGGGAGAATGACCTCGGCTGTTTCTCCCTCCCCCTACTCCTCCTCCTCCTTGCTTTGACGTGATGGGCTTTGACGAGTTGCTGCCCTTCTGTGTAGCTTTAGATCCACTGTCTTTGAGCCCGGCCGGAGACGACGACCGCTGCTGCTTCCGGCTGCTATTGTCTGGCTGACGCGGCGAGTCGGCAGAGGATGGGTTCATCATGGTGTCAAAGGCTCAGCTCATCCTCAACAACATCCATCCCCTTCGGCAGTATCCCTGGAAAACAATTGACTTTTCAGACGTAAAGGCTACAAAAGATGGATATGATCTAGGCTAGTCTAAATAACACTCTAGAAGAAAAGGTTATCCTCGACCTAGAGTTCGACCAAACATAGGCTACTCCAGCCTACTGAAAAATACTGAAATAGAAAAGCGAGTGGGAATAATCTGATTATTAAACGCACCATGCATTTAGATGACTTTTTAACATGGGTGAGGCTAATTCAGTCAGTGGGAAGCGCCCAGAGACAGGTAGCCTACGTGACCACCAGTGATTATGCAGTCGGTCATTTAGCCCCTGATGTGTGTGAGATCAGCTGCAGATAGCGCAATTATACGATTATTTGCGTCACCTGCGCCCCCGAAAGGGCAATGGGCGAGAAAGAAGGAGAGCAAAGAGAAGGCAATGCCATTGGCTATTAAACTTGGAGCAGCAATTTAACCGCTGTCTACTCAGTTGACAGAAATAAGGATCTGATCTGATCCTCGACAGACCCAAAACAAACAAAGGATGGTCCACCTTCATGATAGGCTAAGAGTAGCAACAGAGAGAGCCGTTTCCTGTCAGCCATCATCTTACTCCTCATATCCAACATTACCGATGACTCATTACTCAGAGGGATGGAGGATGAGCCATAAAAGTGCCAGAAGCAACAGACACAACGCTTCTTTTACCTGTCCCACAGTTGGTAGTACAGTCTATGCTTTCTTTCTTTTGTCTCTTTGTTTTTAAAAGCAGCTAAAACCGACTGCCTGTCACACTTTCACACACAATCTCTCACCCAGTTCTGATTGAATCAAGACTATCACAATAGTCTAACCAAAGGGGGAGGCATAGCTCCGTACAAACTGTAGGCTATTACATACACAACAGCTGGGAATAGCAACAGTCAATCAACCCACCTTGGAGGCCTGACAGTACAGAGGATAATGTGGACCACAGTCAGACATTTGCCCTTCATGCAGGTTACTGTTGTCACATTCATCTAAAACACGCCTGTGTGCTCAAAGGAACAGGGTTAGCCTATCACGTGGAAATCACGAAGCTCCAATTGAATGTCTTACCTTTTCTGGGTGTTTTGTCGGATGCTTGAAGGGTAGTGGTAATAGGGAGGCAGAAAGGATGCTGACACCAGCGCCTCCCGACCACCAACCAACCTGTTTCAATATTCATGACATTACATCATCGCTGGGAGGGCCTGGGCTGCACGGAAATGAAGCCGCACGCAGCAGGCTGCTCTCATTGGAAGAAAACAGGATACTCTCTCTCTCTCTCTCTCTCTCTCTCTCTCTGTCTGTCTCTCTGTCTGTCTGACTGTCTCTCTCTCTGAACAGTGATTGGATGATTCCACTTTCAACTGAACAGTCATCCTGTATTCTATCATTTGAATTGATCTTGAGGATGTGGATTTGAATTGAACACTAAAGACAAAGTGACTGTGTTCCAAAATATTTCGTTTTGCAAAGGTATTTTATGTCAGGAGGACAATTTAGCTGAGACCTCAATTGACATTATTTGATAGAGTTTTTAAATATTGCATGACCTCCTTCTTGTCCTTGTCATAACATACAGTAAACGCTCATCAAATTAAAGCCACAAAAACAATACTTTAGTTTCCTTATGTTTACACATTTATTTTACATCCGTTTGTGACTTGGATTTCAGTGAAAAAGTTCAGATTATATTGGCTTAAGTTGCAGCTCCAATTAATGATGTTCAAAAGCTTGATAGTTTCCACATTGTTGTTTCTTGGCGGCTGCCTCCCCTCTCTCATCTTTCTTTCTCTCTCAAAACCCCAAACTGAAGCTGAAGCACAAAACTTTTCACAAATGCCCAGGAATAATTTGTCTATTACTAATTATTCAGTGTTTGGAGAGGGAAGAATATACCTCACTTGATGTCATGGGATAAATAAGACATTTAATTTGGAGTTCTGCCTGCCATTCATTTGTCCATTGATCCAATGTCTTTTAAGGATAATGGAGACATGAAATTAGAGTGGATTTGATTTGAAAACAGGTTAATGTGTGGGAGTTTTTCCATTGGAATAACGGAGAACCATGTGTTCTGTTTGGAAACCGGCCCACCTCTCCTGAGTTCTTAATAATCTTGAGGTATCTTCACTTTGATTGAATTACATTGCATTGGGCCATACCCATCTCGCCAGTTATTTGGAGCTTTTAATTCTTGGACCTGTGCCAATAAGAGCCCATACACCTGCCTGAAATGGCTCACGGTTGTTTAAAGATCCACTGCAAAGGAGGTGGACTTGTGTTGCATGCATCATTCCTGTGTGGGTAAAATAACAAGTCTGTTTGCAGGGAGTGTCAGCGATACTGAAAGTTAGGATTTGCTCTGCTCTGAAAGTTCAGTGTCATGGATTTCAACTTCTGTCTAGGCTTCAGTAACCACAGCTCTTCTGTACCTCTGTGCGATCCATTTGCTTCTGTCACTGCAGGCTTTTACAACACTATATCTTGATCCATTCAGAAGGCTGCTCTGTATTGTAATCACAGTTTAATTGGCAGACAAGGCCAATCACCCAGCTCTGGGCAAGACTGATGATTCATTTTCTCTGAATAGGATGACAGATGTTTGGGGTCTTGCACTCCCTTTCACAGTGAAACAAACACGCATATACACACATTCACCACTCCCCCCACCTATCCTCTTCTTCTGCCCCCACGACTATTCAATCATTTGCTTGCATTAAAGTGACAGATGTCTGCCTCGTGGAGGCTCCCATGTGCCAGACAAGATTACTGATTCTGCTTTGTCTAAAGTAAAACAAAAAAAGATGATGTTTGTCTCAGAATGTGTCGCTTCGTGCTTTGTGAAGACATCAGTTTCTTTAATCACTCAGAAATGTTGAATCCTCTCATACTGTTTTCCTTTAATTGTTAGCATACTTTACATGTCATCTAGCAGTTTAATTAAAACATATATTCCAGTATGAAGCCGTATGGATGAGAAACATAAATTGACTGTAATTTTCAGACTGGATTGAATCACTTATCTTGTCATTGTATCAAAATACATGCACTTATTTCTGCACTATATGTGAAACAAGTTGCCCGGCTGTATTTCATCATTAGAAGAAATGTTGACCTGTTAAAGACTTGATATTAGACCGAATGGCTTGTTAAGATGGGGATTTTGTGCAGTGATGATGAGGCAGCTCACTCAACCACAATCCGTGTCCATGTTATCACTATTGTTCCCATCTTCTTGAGTATTAAGTCTTCTGTCACGTCCCAGTCCTTCATTCCACACCATGAACTGGTGAGAGCACAAGAGTAGCTGTGTGTGAGAGACAGGGCATGATGAACATCTAAAAATATCACCCTCATTCATTTCATACTCCCAAATCTATCTCTCTCAGTCTCACTTTCTCTATTATTCACAAACACAGTTAACCCGGACCATCACAGTAACACCATGTGTAGATGGGGATCCCAGGCAGTGTACTTGTCACTGTTTATAGGAACAATCTGCAGTGTTATGTTGTAGTATCCCTGCTGGGTTTAAAATGTTTAAAATGGCTACATATAGCATTTGTATCAATTTATCATTTTTGAAGTTTGATACATGCATGCATACATAGCATGATTGCCATTGCCATTAAATGTGACTGTGATTAAGAGGCTTAACAGGTCTCTGCACTGAATTTTAGAATAAACAAATCCATTTTTATGGCATTTCTATTGCTTCATTATTCATTAATAATAATTCTTAAAATAATGGCATGCTGTGGAAGAGGTAATGAAAGATTATACATCTTTAAGCCCTTATTCTGACAGGTAAGCAGTGGAGGGCTTTGTGAAGCTTGCACCTTATTGGTGCAGTATATTTCTCCCATGAGGCATAAAAAAACACGCCTGTCTCTGGTCTCAGTTGTTGTGCTCCAGATATCAACCGAGCTTCTAACAGGCAGGAAAATTGTTACTTTGCTGTGAAATACACACAGGATTTCACGGAAGGAGGCAGTTCTGCACAGATACAGACACGCATTCAAACTGACATAATATAAATGCTGATGTAGTCATCCGAATCCTGTCAGCAGTGTACTGTATGCCATACACGTACTACACATACAGTACATACAGATGTACACATCTTGTATATCTAGCCATGACTTTATATTATTTAAATTATATATATATATATATATATATATATTATTAAGTAAGTATTTAATACTTATGCTTTATTCAAGTGGTCACTTTTTAAATACAAGACCAACATTCAAATAAAATCATTAGATTGGCATGAAATTGAAAAGCAACACATTAATATGATTATGCTAATGAGTGTTAAAGCCAACACATGAACTGGCACACCACTTGTGTAAGGGCTAAGGATGCTAATTGTGTCCATTATAAAAGATGTGTAATGGCTCACTATTTCATGCACAGCATAGCATTTCAGTTCCAGTGCAAAATCTTACAGTTAAAGTCAAAAGTAATCAACTGTATTCTGTTGCAGCTATTTGAAAACTATTTCACAGTGCGTAATTCTTCAGCAGCTGTAAATCATTTGCCCTTTAGAACCCTCATTGACAGAGCTATTTCATGCTATAGAGGTGTTTCTCAACCAGAAGAGACTGGAGGACAGGGCTGAAACTGTTGGAATGATACGGGGCTACCATCCAAGGGAAAGGTTGCTGATGAGGTTATGGTTTTCTGTTACAGGAGTTGTGAAATTACCGCTCTGGGTTGAAGAATAACTCAAACATCATCCATGTAATACCCCTCTGCTGGTGGAGGCCTCCCACTCATAAACTCTGCGGGGGGATGTGTTTCTCAATCTCTCTACCTATTACACAAGCACACGCACACACACACAAATGAAATCTACACTCACTAATCCACCCACTCACACACACACAAATAAGCACTAAAACACCGTTAAATATTTTATTGTGCCAATGCTGTTTCCCACATGTACCCAGCTGATTCAAGAAAAAGAAGCATGAGGAGGGGTTGCAGTGGGTGGGGGTGGGAGGTTTTTGGGAGGATGAAGGGGTGGGGGGCGTGTGGGGTCAAACAGCTGCTGTGTACAGTTACCATGGGAACCTTTGTCTAACTCAAGAATTCAACAGGAATGAGCAGTGTTATAAATTCAGTTTTAAGAGGTTTTTCTCTTTTTGTCCGCAAGTAAAATGCAAGTACTTTGAAAATGTACACAAGTACAGCACTTGAGTAAATATAGATACTTTCCAACACCAGGTTTCAACCGACTTCATAACATGGTGCAAAGAAACGGTGAGGGCTACCTCATATGTGGTGCTGCCTGAGTGAAATGAGTTTTAATAATACACCATGAAATCAAACTGATAACCAGGAATTTGAGTTTATAATTAATGTGCATTAAAATGTTTGTGTGATTATGTCCCTCTCCTCCTATCATCAAACATGATAAGTGAAGAAGTGATTTCCATAATTACAGTAGATGGTTCGAAACGTGAGGAACATAGTGAGCATACCCTGTGATGCTAATCTACTGTAATGTGACCATGGTGCCCTCTAGTGTTGGAATCCTACTCTGCACATCTGTTACCAATAGCTAAACCAACCAAGTCATTAATACCAAAACACAGTCTTGATCCACATAGAAATGAAAATACTTGTGAAGAAGACAGTTAAATTAAGTGGCAAAAGGAAGCCAAAATTTAAACAGGCATTCAGTTTAATTTAATTTGAAGAGAGTTCAAAGTTATGATATTTAAAAAAAAAACAAAAAAAACAACAACACAGCAGCAATGTGGACGTATAACTGTCCAAGCTAACAAGCTGGGAACATTCCCAAATGTGCAGTGTACAAAATATCACAATATAATATGTACAACACAAAAATAACATAAATGCACAGACAAGCACTCTGAGCTAGATGACAATTGGTATTTACAGACAAATAAATAGAAAGAACCAATAAATAACATCAAAATGCATTGGTTGATGGATGACATAAAGCTGGATTTGCTGATATAGAGCCGACTGCTGATTTATACTCTATATACTACAGGCGGAGCAAAGTTATTCTTCATACACAGTCACTATAGAGGTTCACCAGCTCTTTTGTGTATATAAATCATAACCTTTATATTTTTAAATCCAAATATTTCCCCTGATAAATTTACATTCAAGCCAG